TGCCATAGCTCTGAACTCAGCTTCTGCACTTGACCATGCTCCTACACTATGTTTTTTGCTTCTCTAGGAAATTAAGTTCCCTCCAAGGAATGTACAGTAGCCCGTAGTTGATCGTTTGGTCAACTGATGATCCTGCAAAGTCAGCATTTGTGTATACTGCAAAGTCAATGTTTGATGCTTTCTTAAATATAATTTCTTTGCCAAGATGTGCTTTTAAGTAATGAAGGACTCGATAGACTGCATCCTCTCTAGGATCATGCATAAACTGACTAATGACACTAACCGAGTAAGCTATGTCTGGCGGAGTATGGACAAGGTAAATGAGTTTTTCAACAAACCGTTGATACATTTCTCTATCCACTATTTTGTCTCCAAGAGCTTCACCCAGTCTATGATTCTGTTCAATGGGAGTTCCAACCGGTTTGCTAGCCATCATTCCTGTCTCCTTAAGTATATCTGTAATATATTTTTATTCAGAGATGAAAATTCCATGTCTAGATCGAGTTACTTCAATCCCAAAGAAGTATTTTAACTTTTCTAAATCTTTTATTTCAAATTCTTTGGCTAGACACTCCTTCAAGACTTTCTTTTCTACCTCATCATTTCCTGTCACTATAATGTCGTCTACATACATTATTAATATCGTGACTCCCCCTGAAACCGATTACTTGATGAAAAGTGTATGATCTCCTTGACTTTATTTGTATCAATTAGCTAACATTACCTTGGCAAACTGTCCAAACCAAATGTGAGGTGATTGTTTCAACCTATATAATGCTCTTTTTAATCGGCAAACCTTGTGATCATCAGCACCACTTAACCCTGGTGGGATACTCATATAAATCTCTTCTTCTAGCTCCTCATGAAGGAAGACATTCTTCACATCATATTGCTGTAATTCCCAGTCAAAGTTCACAGCCACAGACAACAAAATTCTCTCCGTGTTCATCTTTGTTACTGGAGCAAATGTTTTTTGGTAATCCACCCCATATGTTTGAGTATATCCCTTAGCAACCAGCCTTGCCTTATAGTGTTCTAGAGATCCATCTGCCTTAAAGTTTACTGCAAACACCCGCTTACAACCCACTGGTTTCTTACCTTTAGGTAAATCAACCAATTCCAAGTTTCATTCTTTTGTAATGCATCCATTTCTGCCTCCATAGCAAGTCTCCATTCTCTCTTTGATAATGCTTCAGACAATGAGTTAGGAATAGGAATTATGTTCAGGGTTGAGAGAAAACTTTGATGGCTTGGAGAAAATTTCTGGAAAGTCACAAATTGAGACATGGGATATATTGGCCTTTTTGTGTATTCTCGGGTTTGTTTTCTCAAGGCTGTAGGCAAATCTAGATTAAAGTTAGGTCGATCACTGTTGGAAAGAGAATCTACTTGTGGTATAGTTAGATTCGGTTCACAGATTATTACCTCATTTTTAGGAGTCAGTTCAGTGAATTGTTTCTGCCTTGCAATCATAATAAGATCTCTTCTCCTTGTATACACTTGATCAAATCGGAAATGATCAAAGATTTTTCCATGTACTTCTTGGTTTTCTTGTGGTTATTTAGACTGTAATTGTGAAGGAGATATTGACGCTAAAGGCCCATTTTGTGATCTATGTGACTTGGGTGAGGGCATTTCTAGTGGTGGCAGACTTAACTCCTTATCTTTAAGTACAGGCAACTTCCCCTGAAGATAAGGAGTAAAGAAATATGGTTTATTTTTAATAAAAGTAACATCAGCTGAGACATAGAACTTCTTATTAGGAGGAAGATAACATTTATAACCCTTTTGAGTTGAGGAGTATCCCACGAAGACACACTTAATAGCTCTAGGATCTAGTTTCCCTCTGTTATGTCTATGAATGTGAACAAAGGAAGTGCACCCGAATACTCGAGGAGTAAGATTGAATGATTTTC